CATTTTTCCAGGGATATGTAACATGCAATGTTAGTACGAACGTCTCACAATGGGGTGCTTAAAGTACTTTATCATGCCCAGTGTGGCACACAGGAGCTGGATACAGTACTGTCAGTGATCATGTAACACTGACTTTTGTTGAGTCTTACCACATCAATAAGGTTGTAGTACTTCCTTCTGCAAAATGAGCTTGACCCATGTGGGCACACCGGGAGTTAAGATGTCAGTATTGATTGGATAAAGGTCCGTCTCTTTTAACTTTAAAAAGGACAGCCTTTATCAGAAGTAAATCTACATATTCAGCTACATAAATAAGCCAATCAATTATGTTGGCGATATCAATACATGAGGGAGAAAAACAATAGTGAAGCGCTTCAGTCTGTGGAGGATCAAATCTTGACAAACAACATTTACATGTTAAAAAATGCAAATTATAATCAAAATTTTCAACAAAGTAAACACATATTGTGTCCCTCATGATTCCATGTGTGTATTTTATTTATTTTTTTCAGATAAATATTCATTCCTCAGTGTGTGAAACAATCTGTAGTCCAGCCACTGCTCAGCTGGCTAAGAGAATTCATTATTTGTCACTGGCATCAGAGGTCACAACACTGAATCTGGGATTGTGCTCAGGGAAGATAACAAAACTCAAGCAGTGCTGCTGGGAGTAATTTAGACAAATATGTTGTGTCTGATGTGTCAAGGTATTGCACAGACAGTGCCACTTGTCCAGAAGGACCTCAATTTACGTTCCAAAGACTTTGTCTTGTAGTGCTTTATTTTATTTTTTAAAGAGGATTATACACTGCCGCTATAACCACAATTTGCAAGCTATCACTTAAAAACTGCACTCATTCATGTGCACAAGATGGATAGCTCGTCCTCATCTGGGCTTGCATGCTAATTGTGGTTGCCAAGCGTGTGCTGCTGAACTTGGGGAGCCGCTACAACGAGTCTTCAACCTCAGTCTGCGACTGGGGAGAGTGCCCGCCCTATGGAAGACATCCTGCATCGTTCCGGTCCCCAAAAAGAACCGGCCCAATGAGCTGAATGACTTCCGACCGGTGGCACTGACGTCACATCTTATGAAGACTCTAGAGCGGCTCTTCCTCAACCTCCTCCGACCACAGGTACAACATGCCCAGGACCCACTACAGTTTGCATACAAGGCGGGTGTCGGAGTGGAGGATGCCATCCTGTACCTCCTACACAGAGCCCACTCACACCTGGATGGGGGGAAAAACTGAACAGGATGGAGGTGGACCCCTGCCTGGTGGCTTGGATCTCCGACTACCTCACCGACAGACCACAGTACGTCAGGCTGAAGGACATCACGTCTGACACAGTGGTCAGCAGCACAGGAGCACCACAGGGAACTGTGCTGTCCCCTCTTCTCTTCACCCTGTACACCTCTGACTTCTGCTACAACTCTGAATTATGCCACATTCAGAAGTTTGCAGATGACACGGCCATCATGGGGTGTATCTGGGATGATCGGGAAGAGGAGTACAGAAGTCTGGTGAGGAACTTTGTCGCATGGAGTCACACAAACCACCTGCAACTCAACACCTCAAAGACTAAGGAACTGGTTGTGGACTTCGGGAGGTCTAGAGCAGGTCCACTGCCGGTTCAGATAGAGGGGGAGGAGGTGGAGGTGGTCAACAAGTACAAGTACCTCGGGCTGTGGGTGGACAATACACTGGACTGGTCATGCAACACAGAGCACCTGTATAAAAAAGCCCAAAGCCGACTGTACTTCCTCAGGAGGCTGAGGTCTTTTAACATCTGCAGGAAGCTCCTGAGGATGTTTTACCAGTCGGTGGTTGCTGGAGTACTTTTCTATGCTGTGGTGTGCTGGGGGAGCAGCACAGCAAAGAAGGACTCATCCAGGCTGGAGAAACTGATCAGGAGGGCTGGCTCTGTGGTCGGCATGAAGCTGGACACTCTGGTGACAGTGGCAGAGAAAAGGACATTAAAGAAACTGATGGACATTATGGACAATGCCAGGCATCCTCTGCACACGGCCATTAACAACCAGAAGAGTCTGTTCAGTGACAGGTTGCTTCTCCCAAAGACAAGAACTAACAGACTTAAAACCTCCTTTGTCCCACACGCCATCAAACTGTTTAACTCCTCTCTGGAGGGGAGAGGGAGGGGAAACAGGAGGACAAAGGAGGGAACAACTAAGCTGTAGTGCTTCTTCACCTCACTGTGCAATACCTTTTGTGCAATACTTTTGTAAATAGTCAACGGTGCAATAGACTCAATACTTGAAATGTGCAACTCACTTGTATTTTTATTTTTATTCCTATTTATTCTATTTATCCCCTTCGTATATTTTATTTATATTGTCTCTGTATTTATATATATGTGTGTGTGTATAACTCTGTAACGTCTGTCAGTGCTGTGCTTTTTTGGAAATCGAATTTCCCAGAGGAACCCACCCGAGGGATTAATAAAGTTCTATCTTATCTTATCTTATCTTATCTTATCTTATCTTATCTTATCTTATCTTATCTTATCTTACATAAATGCATGCAAATTGGTTTTCTACATCATATAAGCACCCAGCGTAATCACATGCTTTACATATGAACAGTTCATCCAAGCCTTTTGGTTTAAAGCAATTTTCAAGATAAAAGAGTGTATGTTTAGCTTATTCTGGTGTTGAATGATGAATGTCTAAGTATTCATAGGTTTCTTGTGGATTAGGTGGATGTCTACGTGTTTGTTCTGTTAATTCCACCTTTTTATTCTCTGCAGTGTCTCGGGCTATCACTGCTCAGGTATCGGCTTATATCATTGATATATTGATGTAAAAATTAGACTTCCAGTTCATTTTGTTTCTTGTTTCATCCAATCAAGCAATGAGCTGAGCTAGCATCCAATAGTCTTGTATATTTGAGGATCTACATCAAAGAACTACCGGCATTCAGCGCCTTTGAAGTGCAACTGCTCTTTTTCACCACTTCAAACAGAATACAGTGATGCCAAGTGAGGACAGGAGCCAAATGCCAATGTTTATGGATTATTTACCAAAAGTTGCAGTTTTAATTAGAAACACATGAACCTGCTTGCAGCCTTCAGTCAGAAGTGATTGTATTATGACCACAGTAGCAGGTACTGGCTCAGAAGATCACTTACTATGAATGAAGAATAACACTGCATCACAGTGGGAAATCCTTTAAATATCTGTCACAGATAACACAAGATACAGATAAACAAAGCAGATAATAGTTTAGCCAGGAAGACTAGAGCATTGCCTTTTTCATTATTTGCCATTCATTATTATTTACCAGAGGATTGAACTTTACATTGCGCACTTACATGTTCAAACACCTCTCTGCTAATGGTTGTGTAGTATTACAGTCTGTCTGAATGCTCAAGCATTAACGGTAGCTTTTGAAGCACTATCTACAAAACCATTAGCACTTGGAGCCAAAGCACTGGCTCAAACTAAATGCTTTACATTTATAGAATAATTTCTGCAAAGCTTCACTCAGATACCTCACTTCAGGCAACACTTTCAACACTACCTAGCTACAATATTGCAATATGATGTGAAGGATAAACAACTTTCTCCTTATTTGTATTAATAGTGTGTTTTATTCAGATGGATTTTTCTGTGTACACAGTTGTTTACTCGTTTAAAAAAAAAAAAATTGCTATGCCCTGCACACAGATGAGCCACAACCACGCATTTACACACACTAACTCATTGGGTGGTTAGTGCTTCATGCGCTTATTAAAATGATAGTTTGTAGGTAATTATGGAGGCAGTTGTATTTTACAAGAGCGTAATGAGTTTTGCAGCAATTTTATGCTTTTGCAACATGTAAACTGTTTTGCAGGTTTGAAGAAGGGTTTTGTTGGTGGTCATTTTAAATTTAGGCATTTTAAATGAAGAAAGAAAGACTGCAGTACATGATGCTAAAACACGCATCTCCTCTTTTTGTCTCTCACTGGGATGCTGAAACTTTTAATATTGCTTATGTTCTGTGGGCTGAAATTTTAAAATGCAGCGTTTCTGTCTCAGTCTATTCTACTGAAACAATCAAACTACACTCTCATAAAAAGTGTACACTAAAGGTCTATTTCTGTCTCTGCAGTTCCAGTGTATATGTACGTCTTTAAGGGCAAAAGTTTGTATGCTTCAGTGCACTGTAACGATCACATTTGTACCTCTTCTTCTTTTTAAGGTGCAACATTAGGAGACAGCTGGCCAACAAGAAATTAGGCAATTTACTCTTAGATTTAAAGTTTCTGCTGTTTGGTTTAAATAGATAAAAGTAATTTGGTGTATTCTGACTTGTTTAACTCGTGTATACCAGCAGCAGGGTGCAGTAGGGCAGCACTGTCGCCTCACAGCTAGAAGGTTCTGGGTGTCTTTTCCCTGTGCCTGGTGGTCAGAACATTCACAAGCAACTTGCGTTTCTCTTTTTAGATAGCATGCTTAACATTATCATTTAAAATCAATTGATAATTAGTTGTACTGTTTCAAAAGGTTGTAGCTTTCTGTATTAGACATTTCCAAAACATTGAAGACCAATAGTTCTTTCAGTACTGTCTGCTTCCCACTCCTTGTCACACATTTTACCCAAACATTTACCGAACTGAGTTTATTTTGGAGTCAGTATTTGGAGGAGGAGCATAGTTTCTGTAGGATTTATTCAAAAAAGAAATGAATATCTTTACTACTGTGAAATATTCTGGCTCATGGAATAAAGAAACCTGGAGAAAAAAAGTTGCTTTCACTCTTCAAACACTCAATATTCAGCTATGCCTCCTCTTTCTCAAAACACAAACATCTAAGACAAAGGGATTATAGCCTTTTGAACTGTGACCCACAGCAGCTGTTTGAAGCTGCTTTTACTTTAAACTCTAAAAATAAACACCCTTTACTCGCCGACGTTGAAACCAACATGTTAAAAATCCGCCAGTTCAACGATAGCCCTCAAGTAACATGTTCGTTCTGTGTGCCTTCTTTCACTTCGCAGAGATCCGTGAGGCTTTCAAAGTATTTGACAGAGATGGGAATGGCTTTATCTCTAAGCAGGAGCTGGGGATGGCCATGCGCTCACTGGGCTACATGCCCAATGAGGTGGAGCTGGAGGTTATCATCCAAAGACTTGACATGGATGGTGGGTCTCTCTTGCTCTCTCTGCTGCAATTATTCCAACATGTGAGCTGCGTTAATGACTCGTCAATGTTTCGCTTGTTTCATCAGGCGATGGCCAGGTTGGCTTTGAAGAGTTTGTCACATTACTTGGTCCTAAACTCTCTGCTGCTGGAATGCCTGACAAGTTCAACGGAGCAGACTTTGACTCTGTGTTTTGGAAGGTATGTACTGTCCCATAATCCCCACCAATAAAGTTTAATCTAGTCATTTGAATATCAATCCCTCACAAACTACACCCCAGTCAGATAACTGCATCACATGTTGTGGACACTGGTATCCCCATTCCTTACAATCAGGAGTATAATCAAATTAATTACTCTAATATCTGATTTTTATAAAATATTTATACACTGCTGTTTATTGCTGACCTGCAATTTATGTGCATCACTGAGGGGCATAAAGGCAGAAGTTCTTCCTCTGCTAATTAGACCTCTCCTGGTGTTTTCTGTTTTCCCAGTGCGACATGCAGAAACTGACAGTGGATGAGCTGAAGAGATTGCTTTATGATACTTTCCGTGACCACCTCACTATGAAAGACATTGAGAACATCATCATGACTGAGGAGAACCACCTGAACAGTCCAGAGTCCCATGTGAACATTGATAGTATGTCTTATAATATCATTTTTATAGTATTTCATACATTTCTAAAGCTCCACTGACGCAGTTTTGTTCTGTCTCTTCTTCCCTTTCTTTCCGCAGCAAGCCCAACACAACAGGAAAAACACACTTGTGTGCGTAAAAGCCTGATTTGTGCCTTCGCTATCGCATTTATCATCAGCGTCATGCTCATCGCAGCGAATCAAATGCTCCGCAGAGGGATGAAGTAAATACGCGATGCCTGCTGGTTACAAACGGATTTACAGACAGACAGGGAAAATGCAAATGTTAACCAAAATACTTTATCATTTTGGGTTTTATTCACAGCTGACACCCTTGATGATGCAATCATAGGATCGCTCTGATATGGATAAAATGATGTCATGCAGTGGTTCTGTGTGATCACTAATCGTAGTACAGACAATAGAGAGAAAGGTATTTCAAGGGCTGATTGTTATCCAAAACAAGTTACATCTCATTCATTAAGATGGCTGATGTTTGCTAAGATTAGACAGAAAATCAGGCTCCAATTCTCCAAAATTTCAGAGTGCAGCAAGTGTTGTAACAATAGCTGTGCTTTGTCAGTGCATTTAATGTTGCTCTCAAGAACCCTGCCATTTGGAGTGCACCAAATAACGACAGCACCAATGATAGTAATAAAGCAATACAAAAGCGGGCCACATACTCCGTAATTTCAAATCGAGCTAAAAACATAAGGACAAATCACTGTGCACTGCATGCTGTCTCTTATGTCTCTGTTTACTGTATTGTGTCATGACTTTCAACTTGCATCAGGTCTGACAGACTTAACCAGCACCTTCTGCGATCTAAAAATACCAAAAAGAGCCCCTCAAATTCAAAACACAAAACTGGACTACTAATGGATGTATCAGTCTGTCAGTCAGTTCAATTTAATTGGTTCATCCCTTTATCCAGCTTGAAATATTTCCATGAATGTTGCATGTCATTCATGGCACCCATACTGTGAGATCTAATGAATTTGGCGGTGCCCTGTTTTGTTTTTTCTCTGCTATTTTGTTGATATTTTTGCTCAGTTTTTGTGATAGATGAACCACAAATGGGTGAGCTGCATTAGCATTAGCATTAGCATGCAGTCACTCTCATTAAGATCATGCTGCTGAGCTAAGGCTAGCATCGGAGTGCTGCTGTACAGTTTCAACAAACTGCTACAATGCCTGAGCTAAAATATTGTCATGTTACATTTATTTTAAGACCAACACAGAGAGTTTCATGAAGTCATTCAAACTGTTAGGTTTGTTTCTTGTCCCACCAGTTGCCACAAACCTAAATCATGCATTCGCTAATTTGTAGCTTCAGCTTCTAACAAAGACCTCAATTTGAATCAAAATGAAAGCGCATTCTATTTAAACAAATGGACAAAGAGAAAATGTGAAAGCATCAAAATATTTGCAGCGAGAGGCATAAACCGGTCAACAAGCACAACAACTGGATTCACAGCTCAAAAGAGAGGATCTACAGTTGTGATCCACAACGCATGTTACGTACTCTAGTCAAATTATCAGTGGAAGAAACTCCGACAGGCCTGTTTCAATAGAAATGTCACACTTTTTTCACAGTTAATTATTTTTGCTTTAAAGCTCAGAAGAATCTTTCTTGGCTGAGCAGATTGAGATTGCTTTGTAAAGCAAATTGATATTTTGTTAGCTGTAATGTGAAACAACTGTAGCTGAAGAATTAAACTTCACAAAAAAATCACAAGAATTAATAAACCAGACAAGAGTGTGTGTGTGTGTGTGGGCTTTATATAAAAGCTCCAGATACAAAGAGAAATACTGGTATCTTGATGTCCAGCCAAACGAATAACATGTTTTATATCCATAGCCTGCCTGCAATACATGCACATGCTGCATGTTTCAAATGTGCGCATCTGTAAGAGGCATCAAAATCATAACGAGGCACTAAAAAACATTTGAGTAGCTGTATGACACGAGCTACCAGCTATAAATAAATCAAAAGAAGTTTAGAATTTAGATAAAACTAAATAATAATTGTATTTATAGCAAATAAGTATGAAGTAATTCAAGCTGCAAAATTGCATGTACATTAGATTAGAAGTAAATGTGTGTTATATGTGTGTGAGATTATTGAAATCTGGTGTAAGTGTTCAAATAATTATGCAATTTGTAAAGTGATCATTGCAAAAAAAAATATCTCAGTATTTGACATTTTTCTGTAAATGTCGACTTTTTTGTGGATGTGCACAGTATTACAGTTTTTCACAACTGTTAAGACACGTTTCTTGGCGATTTCTGTCATCTAAAAACACAAAACCCAGTTTATAAAATAAAAACCTGAATTTAGACAAGTCTCCTCTGGTAATATGACTATCATGACTCTGATGAATATGTCACACTAAAACAATCCAACTCAATGTTCAGAGCACATATTTTCAGAAAAGGTTAATCTGTTTGTTCTACAAATTGCACAAATGTATACATTCCTCCGGCCACTTTATTATACACATCTGTTAAACTGTTTCACACAGCTGTCTTATCAGCAAATCACATGGCAGCAGTTCAGTACATTTAGGCATGTAGATATGGACAAGACAATCTGCTGCACTGAGCAAGGAAATATAGTTAAGTGACTTTAAACATGGCATTTTTGCTGGTGCCAGATGGGCTACTCAAATGGGCTCCACAGTCACCAGATCTCAACCCAACCAATCATAGCTGTGTAACCAACAAACTTGCAGAAACTGTGAGATGCTTTCATGTTAATATGGACCAAAATCTCTGAGTGTTTCCAGCACCTTGTTGAATCTGTGCCATGAAAAATTAAAGCAGTTCAGAATGCAAAAGAGGGTCGAACCCTTTACCTGCACTGTGTGACTAATAAAGTGACAATTTCCTGTAAATGCACTGACTATTCAGTATTCAGCCACAGAGAACATGACAAGTGTGGTTTGAATTCTTTGTCCTGCTCCACTTTCTACTCATAATTACCGGCTGTACAATCTGACACCGCTTAAACTGAGTAAATAACATAATTAACAGCAAGCCTGAACAATTTTAAGTTGTTCTTAGGAAATGTGCTTAACTTATGCCTCCTGCGGTTTCCGTTAAGCTTCACAAGTATATCAGTGTGAAAATGTGAGTGAGAGTGTATTTAGGAGTAAACTAGATCTGCAAATTGCATCTAACTTTGTAAAAGAAAATGTTTTGCCAGGAGAGCGATTCATTTAATACTAGATTTAGAAAACTGTGCATTTGATACAAAGAAACAAAGCTTGTGTGTTATCAGTTCAGAAAAACTGTAGAATACTAAATACTTTGCAGTATGCTGTGAACAGTAATTTGACATATCATAAAAATGTTGTTTTCTGGCTTTTACATGGACCACCAAAACAACATATTGTTTAAAGTATAACATGGTTATATTTTCTTACTTGGAAAGTAATACATTAAATCTATGTGGATTTATTATGAATGTAAGCATAATGTTTTGTAAAAAAAAACAAAAAAACAAAAATAGGTTTCAGATATAATTTTCCAGTCTGACTGGACATTCAGATAAAATCGTTTGCATGTATTTACGCCATGCACACAACTTTTTTGATTATTTGTCATTTTTCTGAATGTTTTCTTTAACAAACAATATTCTCTAGATTTTTTTCTTCCTCTTTTTACCTTAAAGGTTTATGAAAGCTATATCAGAGTGAAAGTATATACTACTGAGAGTCATACTGGCAATAAAACTGATATTTTTTCCGTATATAGTAGGTGTTTATGTAAAAGAATTTAAAAAACTATTTGTATGACATCACATTACCTCTCCATGAACATATCATGTAAAGTATGGGATTTTATGTGAATGTAAAATATAGTTACTGTGCCAAATCTTAACACGTGTGACAAATTGTGTCCTATTCTGTAGGTTACTGTGTTTTGATGAAAAGATTTATGTCAATTTTGTCAACAGGTTGTTAAAAATGTTCAATTTAAATGTAAATTTAATTTTGACTGTCAAGGTTTTCTGTTCTGTGCCTTTTGTAACTTGGAGTTTTAAAAGCTGCACTTTCATGAAACTGAAGTAAAGATGTAAAAGGATGGGAAATCAATCACATGAATACATGGCTTGAGGGAAAAAATGATACAAGATTTATTTTTAATAGGTGTCATAATAAAATATTAAGTATTTCTGTTTTATCTTTATCACTTCTCTGTTCTTAACACAATATCCTGCTTTGTTTTTATTTAGTTTTTTCAGTAACTGTTACTGCACATGTAGAGGTTACTGCATCAATTATACACTTATGTAAGTGATGTCTATAGATGCATGTAGTCCAATAAAAACAAGTGCATTAAGAAAGCTGTTTGTTTTTTTAAATTTCAATTTAAAAGATGTAAGAAAAGTAGAAATAGTTCATAAACGTAGAAAGAGTTATTGTGGAATTTATTTATAATTTGGAGGGCAACAAGAAAATTAAGAGCAGATCTAAAAAATTCTGAATTTATCTCGTTTTCAGCCGCTTCACATTCGAGGGAGAACAGTTGCCATGTTTCCTTATAATCAGCCCCTTTTTCACTGCTTTTTTCTTGGCAAATTGTTTTGTTGCTTGGTCCCGCCAACAACTATCAATAATGTGATTTAGAACAACACAGGAGTGTCCACACTGGATAAGACAAGCAGCAATATAGCAAAAGGACTGGAATGTCAATGACATCCAGACATGGTAACCTTTACTGAGGTGAAGCTGTGGGGCGAGAGTTAAACTCTTTTCCAAATCTGAGGTGAGACAAATAACCACCAGTGGGAGAAAAGGATACCGAGTGACATACAGTTACAAGTTCTTAACTTGTTGGACACGATTTTTGTAGTTTTGAGTATTGTAAGCTAAGAATCAAGATGTGATTGAAGTGGAGAGTTTCCGCTTTGTTGCATCAGTTAAGGAGTTACAGCCATATTTACATGTAGTTCCTGATATTAAGATGCTTAAAAATAATTGGACAGTTGACTGACCAGGTGAGGCCTGTTCCCATGTTAATTAATAACAAATGAAATGGACATAATATCTGAAGTTTCTTCCAAGTGTTTAATATATGTTTTCAGTGTATTTTGTTTTCACTATAAATTGATCAAAGATATAGCAAAAACTACAAGTGTCCAAATCTACAATCTGATTCATTCTAAAACAGAATAAATAGACTGGTCGGCTCAGCAGCACCAAAAGGCATAAAAAGATCACAAAAGACAACTAAAGTGCATGATGACAGAAGTCTTTCAATGGTTAAGAAAAACAACTTCACAGATGGCAATTTCCCAGGACTGTCAACTCTGTATATCTCAGTCTCCTACACTTATATCTGATGTCATTGAGAAAGTTATGTCAAATGTTTCCACACAACTGTGTTAACTCCTAAGAAACAGTTTAAGTTTACTTTGGTCATTTGTCCCATTGCCATTCAACACCCTGTTTTGTATTTCTTAAGAATTTCTCACTTGGATGGAACCACTTGCCTTAAGTAAATCCAAAGAAAATGTTTTTTGAATTGACTGTATTTCATTGAAATAACACAAATGACACAAACCAAAGAGGATTCCTTAAAAACAACAATAATGAGATAGAGCATCTTTAGGTGAAACAAGCCTGATCCACGGAATTCCCACCCAACACCTCAACTGAGTCAAAGGATCTGCAATATCCCTGTGCCAGACACCACAGCACACTGCATAGAGGACCTGTGCAAGGTTAGGGACCTGGACACCTCTGAGTCCAGTCTGCCAACAACACATGTGCATGTTTAACAAGCATACATGTGATGCATAGGGGATGGTCAACCTGCAAGCAGCCAGGCAAAAGCAAGATGCCACATCCCTAACCTTGTCACCGCCACCGTTTCCCTAATAGCATCCAGTGGTAGCCTTCAAGCACAAGGGAGACCTACACAATATTAGGCAGGTGTTGTGAAGGATGAGTGACTACTGTACATTTCAGCATAATCTGAGCAAAGAATATTAAATACTTGAGGGGTTTTTTAAAAACAAAAAACAAAAAAAAAACAAAGACAATTAGAAATATATTAGTCACAAATCCAAGGGATTTGCACGATGCTTACTAAGAAATAAATTAACCAACTTTCTGACTAATAAAAGTTTCATTATAAGATTCAATCCAGTGTTTCACTTCACATATCATTTTGAAAATTAAATTGTGTTTTCTAGTGGCTGGGTTAGTAATAAAAATGAAGTCATGAGATCAAGATCATAGGTGTGAATGTGCGAGTGAATGTGAGTGCGAATGGTTGTCTGTCCCTGTGTGTTGGCCCTGCGACAGACTGGTGACCTGTCCAGGGTGTACCCCGCCTCTTGCCCTATGACAGCTGGGATAGGCTCCAGCGCCCCCTGCGACCCTGAAAAGGATAAGCGGACGCGAATGGATGGATGGATGGATGGAGATCAAGGAATCCCCCATGATGCAGCACAGAATTAAAACCATGCAAAAAAAAAAAAAAAAAAAAAAAGGTTTCCATCTGCTCGGCAATCATTCATTCCCTTTGGGCCCACATCATATCAAATGTAACTCCTCAGAGGAGTCTCACTTTAAGGCCACTCTGTGACTTATCAGTGCAAAAACTGCATCAATTACCCCAATGTTGTACAGTTACTGTTCATCTCAGATTTTGTTTTGAAATATATGCAAATACTTTACTCATCTAAGAGAAGTAAATTTATTATTCAAACGAAAAACAGCAACAAACAACAAGTGAAATCTTCCTTTCATGTTGAAAATCCTTAAAAAACTAAAATAATATTGGTTTTCTGAACTATTCCTCCTTTTATTAATGTTAGGTATTGGCTTAACAGTCATCTGAACCCTCAAAGCGAATGTCACTCAACCCCACTCAGTGTTCATGTTGATTTTCCACCCGCCTGGAGGAGGGGGTTGAAGTGAGGGCGGTAGGTCAAGAATGGAGAGGAGCTGCTGAAGTATGCCATTTTCTGCTTGACTTTCCTCACTGTCTTCCTCGGTTTTTAGATCTCTGTAGAAATAAATAATAGAATAGGTGAATTCATAATCAACAGGAGTAAAATTTGTCATGCGAGCCATGTAGAATGAGTGTTAAAACAAAAATGAAGGTACATACCCTTTACTACCGAGGGCAGCTCTCTTCTTTTCCCTTCTCGAGAGCCATTCTTCTATACTTCGTCCAGGCATAATTCTGTCCTCAGAGTCCTCTCTGTGTTGTCTTTCATCTGAGAAAAGGAAATAGCTCATTCAACTCAGCATATAGCAGTTTACACACTCATCTGTAGGAAATGTGCTCAACAAGTAGTACTTGTCTTTCTTTACTAGCAGTTTCTTTGAACTATTTTTTTTCCAGAGAATGTTTAACTGCTGGTCTTTGTGGTTTTAATTCAGTAACCCCGGTTCTCTGAAAACAGTCAGTCATCTCACAACGGCGAGTGCTTTCTGGCATGGCCAATCATAGAAGCTCCTCCACCACCACATCCAACTAAGACAAACTAACATGGGCTCCCCAACACCCTTTATGATAGCCCCACCAGACATTTTCAAGGTACTTCTTCCACGTGCCCTTGCAAATACGGCAGTGCAGTGAGATACTGCACTCAGCTTTCAGAGAACCGGTGTTACTCTGGTGAATGGACACTCTCTTTCGAACCTTACGGTACTCTGTATCTCATAATGGATGTTACAGATCATTCTCAGATTGCATACTCTAAAGTCTATAACACCATACCCCAGGCAGGTGGATAACTCACACCCACTCCAAAGGTTAAGAGCACACACTAAGTATCATTGCACAACTAACAGCTGCACAGACGCCCCACACATAAATACCATTAAAATGAGATAGCTGATGAGATAGCCATTCCTCAGGTGAAATGAGCACACAGATACTCAGGAAGCTTCAGTATCTGGGACTTCTGTGCCATCACAATAGAGAGCAAGCAATAGGACAGTTTCTCAAATATATCAATTGTCATCATAAAGTGAACGTATGGAAAGAGTGTGGAATGCTTGTTTTGGTGGAGATTAGGGCTCGGCGATATGACCCAAAATTCATATCTCGATATTTTTTACCTGGACGGCGATATAAGATATATATCTCGATATTTCATTTTTTTTTAAAAGCCATAAATGTCTCACATGTCTCACTCTGTATATTTTATATATTTTATTTATTGTTTACTCTATTTAATTTGTAAAATATGTGTACACACACACACACGCACACACACACACACACGTAGAAAAATATTTAGTATACACATCCAGAAATGCATATACTATTATATATTGTACATATATTTATTAGTTTCAGATGTAGCCATTCTTGTATTTTGCTTGTTTACATTATTGTATTTTTCACAACTCTGTTGCTTGTGAAGCTCGCACACAAGAATTTCACTCACATGTGCTGTACCAATGTACCTGCACATGTGATGTGACAATAAAAGTGATTTGATTTGATTTGATTAGATTAAAGTAAGAACAAAAAGAGAGTTCTTAGTCCAAGCTGTGTCCCAGATGTCACACAGGCATTTCTATTAACATAGAGCATAGATGTACATAAGATTTACTCAAAAATAAATTATGAGCATTTATTAAATAATAATGCTCCATAAATAAAAGACAACAATGTTGTTTTTGTGCATAACAAAAAGCTCACAATTGTGCAGTCAAAATGTAAACTAAAAGACGCTGAGCATAATAACAAAGACAGATTTCACAGCTGCTCTGTTCCCAACTTCTACTGTGTGACTGACAGCATTGAGTTTGAAATCCTCTTCGTAACCACGTCTCTTAACAGGTGCCATTTATAGTCCCTATACACAGTAGGGTAATATTTAGAGCTGGGCGATATGAGATTTTTTCATATCACGATATGTTTTTTTCATTTCAGGCGATAACGATATCTATCACGATATAAGCCAAATAACTATATTTGTAAGATTTAAATGTGCCGTTGCTCACAAGTAAAATGTGAAATAATCAGCAGCTTGTTTTTAAATATTTATTTCCCATAATAAGTTCAACAGGGTAGATGTACTTAAGGAACATGAGACTTTTTCAGATAAATAAAGGCAAATATTGCAAACTACACAAAAGGCAGCCGCTAAAGCGTTTAAGTTTCAAAATAGAACAAACGAAACAGACTACTAAATTGTCAATTCCACTTAGAAACAAAATATTAATTCTAAAAATAAATCTTAGTTTGTTTTACAGAATAACAGACAAAACTGACTAACTTTTGTCAATATCAAATAAACTGAGAACTAAAAGGAAATTCTCAATCTCTCCTTGTTGTATAGCTGAGCTTTTCAAACAGTTTTAACAGTTACTTTAGTCTGACAAAAGCCGAATGATGAATTAGCGCTTCCAGTCAGAGACTGAGGCTACGTCCACACGTACACGGGTATTTTTGAAAACGGAGATTTTCCGTTTTCGTTTTAAAAAATAATCCCGTCCACACATAAAGGCAGAAATGAAGGAAAACGCTGCTGTGAACATGCCAAAGCAGCAGGTGGCGCTACCGTGCAGAAATGTTGGCCAATCAGAAGTCTAGAAGCCTCGGTGGGAAAAAGTAAACAAAGCTGCGGCATAGAAGCAGAACCGAGTCGTATGTGTGGAGGGACAGTAACTGTGTGTATATGTAAGCATTTAAACACTGCAGAGAGTAGAATTAACAGTATTGTAGAAATTCATTTCACCGAAACAATAACGTGGCGCACAGTGTGACGCATGCACCAGTTTATTGTATTTCCAGACTTGCTTTCGGCACAATTTACAGTGCACGCTACTCTGTTTTTTGTCAGACTTGAAATAGCCGAAATACCTTCACACTACGGAACTTCTATGGCTCTTCCGTTCGACAATCTCTCCGGCGTTGGAACCATCATCTGTTTTCTCTTCGGTCACGCTCGGTTGATTTTTCTAGTCGGCACACTCATTTCCTCCATTACCCGCTGGCTGCTTCCCAAACAAACACACGTGTGGCTTGGCACTTGTGCTGTACGTAACAAGTCACGCGACGTGACGCTGCGGCTGTGATTGGTTCGGCTCTGCGCTACTTAGTTTGGATTGGCTGACCTTTTTTTTATTTTTTATTTTTTTTATTTTAAGAGGACAAGAGCGGCGAGGTCTATCGCGATAGCTTAATTTCTCTATCGAGTAAAAGTTATATCGCGATACATATCGTTATCGTTCTATCGCCCAGCTCTAGTAATATTACGTTGAAGCACAGTACGTATCACTCCACGAAGGCTCCTCGGTAGCCGTAATGCTCTGACAATCCATCAAGCGGTGCAGCACCGTAGCTTACCAACGTCGTACTAAAACATTTTTTGACAGATTGCTGAGCGCCGTGTTCCACATAAAATCGGTTCGCGGCCATCAAGCACAACCAGAATTCATACATAAGGCGCGCTGTCAACTTTTGAGAAAATGCAAGGATTTTAGGCTGTGCAGCGCCTCTGGGCTGCATGGCGTTAGCGTGGTTAGTACGTTAGCGTGGTTAGCTAGCTTACACGTTGACGGCGTCCAGCACCACGCACGGGGCGATGTGCAGTAACTCGGACACGGCAAATCTCCGTTAACATCTTGTCGCTTCCTGCAGGTGAAGCGATGGGGGAGGAGGAGGAGTTGTGTTCAGTGAAGGAGGGGCGAGGCCGAGTAACATTGCGTAAAGACAAAAGTGGACGAAAGAGAGGCAAACTTGCGGCTCCACAAGTATAATTATAACGTAGACTATATCGATATAAAGGATATTGTCACACCTCACACCTTATATCTCGTATAAAAATATATCGATATTTTTTAAAAACTCGATATATCGCCCAGCCCTAGTGGAGATGATACATGAATGACTGTGCCATCTACTTTCATCTAATGCCTCATCTACTACATACATGCCGGAACAGCAGGCATGAGCTGCTGACAAGAAGCTCACGCAAATATTTTTCCATCATAAAGATTCCTTTACTCCACCTTCTTGCTGCAGGACATCTAATGCACCATCTTGCTGCCACAAGCTTTCAACTTTTACAAAGATCAATCTAGGAGGGAGATGGAGAGAGCTGAGTTTCCCCGATAGTGAAGCTCAAATTCCACCATGTCTGGGCAGGAGGGAGAACAGCATCCTCCTCATTATCATCTCTGTGGAAATCGATGTAACATCGTCCTTATCTTCTTCAAGTTCCTCTTCAGAATTGAGGAGCTGGTTGAAGAACGTAGGAAATTCAGTCTCTTGCTTCTTGAATATGCCTCCCAGCAAGTGCCAGCTAAGCTGGGTTTGTCACTGGACTTCACCACAGTGTCGGATTATTAGGGACCGGCTTTTGAGGCCACTAACCCTCGCAAATGCCACTCCAGGATTCTGCCTAGCATTGCGCTGCAGTGCTCGGGAGAAGCATGTTTGACATGCATACATATTGTTAAGGAATTTTTATTGTTTTATTTGATTATGCTTCAAATGTTATGTTATACATATTTCACCAGACACAGCTTTCTGTTGAAACAGGAAGCTGACCCTGTGACACTGACAAGAGATCAGTACAGAAATACATATCTGCAGAAGTTGACTCGCAGTAGGGCAGGGCGATATGGCAAAAAATATTTATCACGATATAGATTTGAAAATTTGCGATAACGATATAACTGACAATATAATTGACGCAAAACAAAATACAACTCTACAACTTTTTTAGTGGAAAAAAACCCCATCAATTTGTTTTTGTTTAAACAAGCAGCTGTTTATTTTAACGTGCATTACAGCCACACAAAATTCAACAGTGGTTATCCTGTTATATACATGGTTATCCATAATCATGTATATCCACAAAACTTAAGAGGTGCTTTGTAACAAAAGTGCAGTGTACAAAATCAATAAGTCAAATAATAATATTGCACAAACTCTTGAGTAAAAACAAAACAAACAAAAAACAGATAAATTATGCTACTGCTCCTGGAAGTTTTTCTACATTTCAAGTTTTAAGATTCTTTGTCAGAAACACTAACATGTTCACAGATGCGGGCTTAAGGGAGGACCTTTGACAAGTTACAACATTTCCACCTGTGCTGAACAACCTTTCAGATGCAGAGCTAGTTGCTGGAATGCAGAGGTATTTCCTAGCTAATCTGCTGATGTGGGGAAAGTTTACTGTGTGAACTTTCCACCACGAAAGAGGATCACACTCACTGTCTGCTGGTGGACTATTCACATAACATCTCAGTTCAGATGATAACCTCTCTGCAGTTACCTCCATCTTGCCACTAACTGGTCCCTTCAAAAAACTCCCGAGACTCTTCTTTTGCTTTTTAACAGCTCCCTGATTTGTTTGGTCACCAGTAGATGTATGAAGTGTTTCTGAAAAACCTGTGATACCCTGGTGTGGGACAAGATGCTCTAGTTCACTCATGACTTGAACTTTGATGGCTTTGCTTTCTCTCTCACTGAAATATTCTGTATGAAACCGTGGATCAAGGAAAGAAGCCATGTTAACAAGCCTCTCTGTGACACTGTCTGTGTAGCTTTTGTTCATGTAGTCAAGTATTGCTGTTTTGATGTCTTTGGTCAGCTCAGTGTCACCTTCTTTTACTTTTAACATGTCATTGTTAAACATCTGAAGAACAGGCTTAACACATGAAATGGTTACATACTCTTCAGCAGAGAAAGCATCTGTAAACTCTAGGAGTGGATTCAGTGCAGTGCTGACCGAGTCAAGCACTTCAATGTCTTGCCATGTCAACATGAGGTGCCTTGTGGTTTTATCAGCAGCTAAAACCTGTGTTATAGCTTTTTCTTGTTCCAGCAGCCGTTGGAGCATTCTCTGCTTTGAACCCCAACGAGTGCAACATTCAGTTATGAGTTTGTGTTCTGGTAGGCCCAGTTCCTTTTGGGCAGCCTGCAGAGCTCGCTGGCGCTTCCAGCTATGGCCAAAAGCAGCAACAATCTTCTTTCCCACTCCAACTGCTCGTTCGATCCTTGGGTCCTTCACACTTCTTTCTAAAAGACATACATTTAAAAGGAAACACAGTTTCAACAGCACTATTAATGCGGTGTGGAATGTGACATTTAAGTTGTATAACACACAATTATTTACACACACATCTCTCTCTCTAATATATATATATATATATATATATATATATATATATATCTTGCAGTACAACTACCCACATTCAGAGATTAATAACACAAACAGTATTATTACCATCATATAAACTAATACAATAAGTTCTTAATCTGACGTTATAATTAACTTACCTATAGCAAAAAAAAAAAAAAAAAAAAACGTACCTATTGCAATGTGCAGGCGATGTCCGAAGCATGAAAGTCTGGTCCAGTTGTTGAGTGCGACGGCTTTCACAATGTTGGCCCCGTTGTCAGTTGTCACACACACTTGTTTTTCCTCCTGAAGATTCCACGAGCTGAGGAACTCTTTTAAGACTCTGGCTATATTTTCCCCAGTATGGTCCTCGGGGAAAAAACATGTTTCGAGGCACTTGTTTTGTAGCTTCCAGTCTTTGTCCACATAATGTATTGTGAGGCTCATGTAGGGGTCTGATGTTCGGCTTGACCACATGTCCGTGGTGGACGCAAAAAACTCCACCGAAGATAACGCATTTGACACCTCAGTACGGATCTCTTCATATAAAGCAGGCAAGGCGACTTTAGAGAAGTATTTCTTTGTGGGTAGCTTGTAGCGTGGATCAAACGTTTTAAGCATCTTTTTGAAACCTTCTCTTTCCACACTCTGAATAGGCATCATATCCCTGGCTAAACAATGTGTCACTGCATTAGTTAGCTCCCCCCAGCGTTTGTTACTTTTGTCATAAGGCATGGAGCTATTTAAAGCTACGTTGATTGTTTGTTGAGTCATCTTCTTTGGTCTTACCACCTCGCTAGTTGAAGCGGACAACTCTTCACATGCTTTAATGGCTTTTTTGTACTCAGAGGAGTGCTTCTGCTTCAAATGATAAAATAGGTTTGTAGTGTTTCCTCCCTTCGCCGCGATGGCCCGCTTGCATGTTCTACAAAAAATTTTGCTTTGGTGGGTATCCGATGGACGAAAACCAAACCACTTCCACACCACCGAAGTTGCACCGTTTTTACTGACCAATTCTGGCTCACCCGCTTCATTCAAAGACGCGCCTTCGTCCGTGTCATCCTCCATTGCCGCCATACTTTTTCTGCCATGTGCGTATGAAAACAAAGGCACTGCGCATGCGCATTTTGCCCACATTCTATCGCGATATTTCATTTTCCTATCGTTGCCAAACTTTATACCGGTATTATCGTGAACGGTATAATATGGCCCAGCCCTAACTCGCAGTATATTATTCTTAGAAATTGACTTGCAACACACATACTTTGTGACAAACACACACACACACAGACAGCATCAGGACCTGCGTAACAGTAAATGTGATTATATTTGCATATTGACGATGTAACCTATAAAAATAAACGAATACTGCAGTTCGGGGTGATTTGCTCTGAGCTTTTCACCCGTGCAGCACGTTAACCTACACAAGTGTCTCATTGTTGTTTATTCACCTGACTGTTTGTTAACTGTAAATCTCTGACACATATGATGGGTCTTTCCCTGACATGGTGTAGCTACAAGCAGCTAGGCAAAACCAGGACGCCACATCCCAAACCTTGTCACCACCAGCATTTCACTAATGGGTTCAAGTCGTAGCCATAACCACCAAAGCTCAGCTTTACAGCTAACAAATAGCTGCACAAACACAAGCTTTTATTTTTGTAATGAAAACATAATTGCAACAAAATGACAATTAATCCTGAAACTACAAAAACCCAAGTTTGGTGGCTACCCTGATGGCTGCATCTGTAAACAGTTAAGCATTTGAGGACCGCTAAGGAGCTCTAATGATCTTCACGTGGAAGAAAACAAGGACGCTGGTATAGAGCCAGGGGACAGACACCGTTTTCTTGAAGTGATTTATGTGTCTTAGACGGGGTATTAGTGGGCACACAAGAAGATGCTTTCCACTGCTATAGGGAGTGAGGTTGAAAAGAGAACACAGTATTCTCCAGTATTATATATTTAACAATTGTAATACAAAGCTAAAAGTTCAAGTAAATGTTTTTACTTTGATTAGAAAAATATCTTTCCATTTGAAATGATCTGTATATGATGCTTGCTTTGCTTCAGGGTCCTGTAAAGCGTATCACAAGGTAAACAGCACCATCTTCTGTTCACAGCTTACCTTCCACCTGTCTTTGTAAGTTAAATAGCTCTTCTTCTGTCATATGAGAAAACCTGCAGTTGGAGCCAAAATCACAAATTCCTAAAAAACAGAGAGAAAGAAATTCCAAATTTAAATTCATTTTTACTGATACTAAATCAATTCACAAAAATATGATCAAAGTGCTTTACTTTGTAGAGTAAAAACAATATAATAATTGGGAGAAACCCCCGACAGCCTTGTTATCAGGTTTAAACACGATCTTGGCTTCCATTTTTTCACAGTTACACCCAAGATATTGGAAGGGAAGCTATCTCCTGCAACAGGTCGAGGGTGGGAGGAAGATGACAGCACTGTTAGTACGCTCACTGAAACTTTTTGGAAGACTTTTCAGGGATCCTTTCGAATAATAAGGAATTCAAATAGTCCTGCCTAGAAGTAACAATTTATTTCAGTATTTCAGAAGAAAGAAGGACATCCTAGAATATGCTAGAGAAAAGATAAACACTGGTCAAAGTGGCTCCAACATTCCTCACACCGTTACTGCTGGCCATGGTGTTGTAATCTAGAGTTAGTATAAGTAGCACTAAATAAAGCAACTTTGCTATTGCTTGTATTTGTCAGTAGAGAATTACAGGTCATTCTGATACCTTTTTGGAGAAACTTCCTGCAGGGCTTCTTTTCTTGCTCATCATTCAGAATAGCTGCAGAGTCTGTGAAGAGAAAATGCTGGTTATCATACACAGTTAATCACATATTATGAAAAAGCAATGCATCATTTTTCAACTACAGATTTTCATGGATATGAAAACCCTGGTCTCAGAAATAACTGCTACTCTCACCTCTAAAATTGTCAAACCAAGCTTTTTTTGCTCGGTGATGCTGAACACCATTCAGATGCTTTTTTCTGTTATGCATGTTGTCCTGAAAGGACCGGTCGCAGTAGTCACAGTAGTACCTCTTCCCCATGGTCAAAGTTGTGTTCGGAGTATTGCAATATCACCTTTAAACACCTGAAAGACAGTAAATAGTAAACAAAATCAAAACTGTTCTGAAAATATAGAGTAAAAGAATATGTGAATAGTTTCTATACCATGGTTAGGGTGACTTTAACTAAGAAAACCTACATCAGTAAGGAACAACTGACCACTGTGCCCACATCTATTAGATTATAACAAAAATATGAGCAAGTACATATGTAAGAAACCCTGGAGAGGTGTGTGAGTGAAAAGGGAGACAGGCGTAACAGTGAAGATGCAAATAGTAGAGGTAGTGGAGGCAGATGACCCAGGGTCAATCATCCAAAGCAACAGACAGTGCACAAGAGAGGTGAAGAAGAGAGTGCAGGCAGGTTGGAGAGAACGGAGATGAGTTTCAGGGTGAAAGAGTGAAAGAGAAGGTTTACAAGATTGCAGTGAGATCTATGGTTTGGAGATGGTAAAAAGAAAGAAAAACAGGAGGTGGAGCTGGAGATGCTGAAAATCTTGACTGGGAGTGACCAGAATAGACAGGATTAGAAATGAGTACATCAGCGGGACAGCTCAGTTTGGAGACAAAGTTAGAGAGGCAAGGATGAGATGTTTTGGATAATTGCAAATGGGGGATAGTGGATATTATGGACAAAAGATGTTGAATATGTAGCTCGCAGGCATAAGGAAAAGAGGAAACCAAAGAAAAGATTCATGGGTGTCTTGAAGGAGCGGTGGCCCACCACTAAAGAGAGCAGCCGGAAGAATAAGAAGACGTTTACAGCAAAATGTTCATATACGTTCACGTGTGCAAGCCAGGGTTAAAAATGCTTGGGAATAAAAGTCCTTACACGACAAACTGGGACCAACAGCACATCTACTGACACAAACGCCCGCGACCATTTATTTAGTTGCTATCTGTTTTGTTTTTGTTTGTTTTTTAAGTCTGAAACTACGAAGCATAATTGAAGAAGCACTGAGCCGAAACACGTGCATACTAATCACACTCTCAAGCCCAAAACCGCACAGCAAACCATACCTCAAATATTTATCCCCGACGAGATTATAGCATGCTGGCTACAATCTAGGTGGCAAAGGGGTTGTCCTAACAAAAGGTACCGGGTATCTGTTTATTAGCATCCGGCCACCAAGCTAAAGCGGAAGTTTCGCGCTAGCACATCCGTTCCTGCGCAGTGAGTACTGAACCGTCGACATGGCGTTGGCTAAGTCTGTCTACAATCTTCTCTTCAGGAGGACATCTACGTTCGCTGTAACCATCATGGTTGGAGCTGTCCTCTTTGAACGAGTATTTGACCAAGGTGGAGATGCGATCTTTGAGCAAATGAATCGCGGGGTGAGTGCGTGTTTTGAGCTTTTAAAGCACCTGACCTTGTACGCAGAGGGCGAAGCGGCGCTAGCGTTAGCCGAGCTAACTTGCCCGCTAAGTCGAGCGTTCTGGTCTTTTGACAACTTCTTCGTTTAGCAATGCCCATCAGTTGTCTGAAAACTCTAACGTTACATTGCATGTGTTTTATTGCAGAAACTGTGGAAACATATTAAGCACAACTATGAAAACAAAGAAGAATAATGGGACACTGGCTGGGGTTCTATAAGGCTCGATGGCATATGTTGTCACATTTCCATTATCCATTCTTCATGGGCTCCACACCTGAATCAATTCAACATGGACAATGTGCTCAAAGTCATGCCCAGGCTATCGGCGGCTGCCAAGGGACCTACGAGAGCCGACAGACGGTCCAGACCCCGTGAAGATGGAGCAGTGGTTCCTGTCGCTTCGTCTCCTTCCTTGATGTTAATTGTAACGCCTTTGTTTTCCTCACTGATTGTAAATTGTTAAATTAAACATGTATTTGTCTAACATACTTAAGCGTCTTGGTTTATCACGTTGAATATCTTTAAAAAGTTTCTATGTCCTTTCACCATGTAGTTATTTCTAGTATCTAGGAGAGAACTCGTGTCAACTGCATGTTTGCAAACTTTTAAGCAAGTGATTTCTACTTTTGTTGGCATCAGTTCTTGAAGAAAACATTTTTTTTCAACCTGTATTTAACCAGCAAAGTGTATTGTTGAGGCAGTCTCTCTTGTGTGGGGTTACAGAGGCAGCATTAATCTGACATTATTTGATGACAAGAAAAACTGAAGGTCTTGAAGAAAATCCACACAGAAGCACACACAAGGTGTCTGTTTAATGGGGAAAAGACGTTGTCTAGTATATATTTGCAGAAGTTGAGTTGCTATGGGGTTTTCAGCTAAGAGTTCTGAAGTCATTTGTCAATGCTTAACAATTTTGTAATATCCCCTTCAATGAATGTACAAGTCTTAATATCTTAATGGAGGGTGGCATAGATTTTATACTGGAAACCCTTCCTGTTCCAACCCTCCCACTGTTCCAGGCTTAGGACCAGCACTAGGCCCCTCAAAAGGTCAATGTGTGTGTCTTCCCGGTCTTGGATCTTGTGCTTTTATGGGTGAATGTGAATGAACCCCTATTCATGCACTCTGTTAAACCTGCATTAAAAGACTGATCACCGAAAGAAAAACTATTAATTCCATAATTTTCTTGTGGAAGTTATACAAGAGCAGGATTCTGTCTTTCAGCAATTTGAAGCACTTCTACTTTATTATATTGTTAAGCAGGGAAGGAAACTGCAGAGGGAAACACACAAGCAGAAAAGGCACCCAGTTAAATGAGGCAAACTGCCACATAACCACAAAAATATTTGGACCAATTGACCACTATGGCCACACTCACTGCATTACAGTAAAACTGGGTCAAGTTCATGTAACAAAAATAACATTCACATCACCAAAAGGTAAATGATTTTCAGGCTGCTAGATTGTATCAGTTACATTCATTGGCTGATACACAGTAGGTAATGACTGATACTCAAACACACCTGTCACAAGCTTTCTGCTGTTGCTTTTTACAGTTTGCCTGACTACAAACTAAAAGCAGGTGTAAAAAATGTTTTAGTTCTGGAAAATTTATACACACACAAGATTTTGCGCTAACTAAATAACATAAACATGTATTTTTGTTTCAAACCTCGGCAGTTCAAACAACCTTGCCAAGTCAACAAGTGACAGTAAGTGATGGGATGTTAGTGTTATTTGTACTGTAAAACTTAAACTTATCAGTTGTAATAATTAGAAGTAACACTTAATCTTATCAAACTCAATAACTAAACAAGCACCCACTATCACAACAAATGGAAACTAAACTAAAACAAAATACAAAAACAGTTGCAAAAACACTGTCTTAGCTCTGCTGCAAGCACATGTATAAGAAATCATCCTTAAGCAAAAACGTGATTCATATTTTCACAATGCAGGGGAGGTGCATCTAAGCTCCAGATTCTGACAACATGCTCTCCATATCACTATCATTCTCATGGAGCCAAACCTGTGCAGAACTTCTCCATGGACATAAAAAGTGATTATGCTCTTAAATTTATCCAGTGCAAGGAGGTCCATGTATCACTGGAGTTTGTGTACTCTCCAAGTGTCAGTGCATCTGCCAGCAGCTACCAAGTGAAGAAATTAAAAGTCACTAACTAAAACCTTCTCAGTCTTGAAATGCCAAAGAGGCAAATTTTGGCAAAATACAACAGCTCTTTATTTAAACACATTAATCAGCTGAGTCACCAATGACTTCATCTGCCTGAACTGAAGATTAATAGATAGGTGCACGTGTCCAACCATGTTATTGATGAAGACAACTGGTGTAAACTATTGAGAGGGTTGGAGAAAGGCCTCAGCCATTCAAATACATTCCACACAGCTGCATTTGAGTCCCAGGCCAGTGGAGGGCACACTATCACTGCCTCATACTTCCACCTGCAAGAATCCAGGTATCGCTCATGACTCACTAATGGCTCGATTACCATGTGCTTAACAAAACACCAATACCAGGGGTAGGTGAGCTGTTACATAGCTTGAAACAAATGTATTAGAAAACAAACATATAAACACATTATAACAGGAATGCTGGTTTTGTAAGTAGCCAGCCTGTTTAAGCCTAAATCTAATGTTAAAAAGAAAACATAAACACATTGTCACTAACACACTAGCACAGTATTTGTTGAGTATTATTTGAGATACACATAACCAATGTTTTGGCCTTTCTCTGAATATATTCCATAACACGTGCACAAAATGTGACATTACTGTGTTTACAGTTCAAATAGGCATATTTTCGCGTGACAATGAACTGCCAGTAAGAATTTATTATTAAAACCTGAAAATGTTTAAAAATAAATAAGGTGAAAACATTTGTTAGGAGATGAGCATAACACACGAACATTCACTACATTAGTATTTTTACTCAATTCGCTTGTTAAAACCAGTAGGCTATGGCTCAGCTGTCAGTAGATAGCATCTTTTAACCAACCCCACAGTCTTGTGAGCCACAGGCTTACACCCAGCTCGGATAAGTATTGTATTTCAGGTGTGAGCATTTTTTCACAGACTGTCCTGAATCTCGGATCAACATCTTTCTTAATGTTGTAACCCAGGATGGAACTCTCTCCAACCGGCTGCCAGGGCAGGAAACGCCTGTTCTGAATCTTCTGCGCTTCAACCGCACCTCCGCCTTCAATACAGATGTCCTTCATCTCAGCATTTCTTCGCCTCAGCTCCTCTACTTTCTGCTTCATTCTTTCTCTCCCATATGCCTCGACTCTGGCCCAGAAGGTACCATTAAAATACTGATAGAGTTTCCAGTCTGCCCCATTCCACTGTAGAGCTTTGGCTCTCATCTCAGCATCCAAATGAGACACGGATGAGCTCTTGCGAGCATTAAGCTTAAAGTACAGGATGTCCTCCATTGTCCAACAGAGCAAATCCTTCAGCAGAATAAGAGACTCCTCGAAATATTCTGCAATGAGGACCAGATGAAAACGTCTTGATAAGTTCTTAATTTCTGTCATGACGCGAGGATCATCAGCCTTGAGGTTGTTATCCAAACCAAAGTCAAAAAAGAGCAGATTTTTTAGATAGAATGAGTTGAAAGCCTCTGGACTGTAAAAGGCCCAAGGGTTGTTCAGAAACTCTGCCAGCTTGTTTTCACCTCTGATCCTCCACGTAAGGGGAACTGCTTTGTGGTAGTAATGGAAGGAAGATTCAAAAAGATCCACCGGGTCACGCAAGATGGTGACGTACACACTGTCTGGAGGCAGGAGCTTGGACACTTCTTGATGATCAAAGCGCATGTGGTTGCAAACGATGTTGAAACATTCTCCAGGTTTGTAGTCCTTCACCTGGGAGCACAGGAACGGCGATGGGTAGAAGAAGTCATTGCGCCCATCAGGAAATGCAAACCTGAGCTTGTGCTTTTCTCCAAACCTGAAGAGGATATTGAGGATGGTGCTGCTAGCTGTTTTATGCGTCTTCATAAACATGACATTCACTTTGGGTGAGCACTCTTCTGAGTGAGTCTGCTTGATCAAACTTTTGTTTTGTAATTTTGCCACACCGAGGGGACACGTGTCTTCTTGGGAGTCGCTGTAAATATATCCAATAAGTCAGTTTACCGAGTTTATCTTATCATATCTCTTATCTTTTGTGAACAAAATAATGATTTCCTTTGAAATATTTACCTGAGTTTCACTTGGTTTGGGTTTCTTAAGCAGTACAGCACCACCATGACGTTGGTCAATAAAACCCATGGAATCAGAACTCGTAACAGAGCCTTGCATTTAGTTGCTTTGATGCCTGACATTATGTGAACCGAGAAGAAACCTGAAAATGAAATCAGAGGTTACACGAGTATAGAGGCGAGTATAGAGGCGAAAGGCAAACACGGCTCTGAATTTACATACTTCATTTGATTTTACTGTTTAACTGCTGCTCTCACAAGCGCCAGACAAATCAATGAACAGCCCAAGTATGCATTTGTGGCAGGAACATCTTGCACAAAACCCTACTAATTACCTCCATTTTCATTTTTTATGGCAACAGTAATGAATAACGACTTATAAACATACATGCAATTCCTATGTTTTAATCTGTCAAGGGGAAAAGGTTAAAACAATGTCCATATGATAAACAAGGAGGGAGGTACAGACTAAGGAGATAAGAGAGAAAATTGCTGCATCGTTCAAATGAAACATACAGCCCCTATGTTGACACTAAACACATGTTTATGGTTTTATAATTTCCTCTTCAACAAACAGCAGAGAAGAGAAACAGATCAGTCTTTGCTGTAACAGCATCGTGCTCGAAGAAAACATCTCATGTGAAGTGAAAAATGACTGGACATCACGTTTCTACTGCACTTCTGTTATCGACACGGGAAAGATGCTCACCTCTGATTGGCCAGATAAACATTCCAGATAAAGGCAGAAGTGGTGTCATGTGACTCTGGCTCTTTTGTACTGACTAAATATTGCTTGTGATAGCAACCCAGGTATGAGAGTATTTGCTGAGTGTGTGTCACCAAGTAGCGAATAAGTAAGTCGAGTTAAGACTTTCAGCCTGCGTGTAAATGGTGTTGGAGTTTTTCTAGCAAAACAGAGAGTGAGAGTCTGACTTACCTGAAGATGACAGCATTAGAGGTGTTAGGGTGAGGTTAGGCTCCCTTCTAGACCTTGAAATCGCATTTGTCCATCCTAGAAGTGGTATCTTATTGGCTGCTGGATAAAGAGGAAGAGGAATTCTCCTCCCACAGGGGCAGGTATGCAAAGTAGCCTGGACCTGAAGGACACACCTCTGTATAACTGTTGTCATAAATAACCTATCAAGCTAAAAAGACGTTGCTCTAAAATGTGTTCAATTCATGTGTATATGTACAAGTATATGTTATGGTAAATATGTTATGGCTTTGATGATAGTGCATTGATGAAACTTCCAAATATAAGAGGAGGTGCATAACTATAACTGTATTATAGAAGTGTACTAAACTCTGTGCTAGCTCCAGTCACATTATTACCTCTTTGCCAGGTTTTCTCAAATTATTTTTTAAAGTCTGAAACAGACTGTATTAGCCAAATATTATTTAGCAGTTTATAATAAGTAAATGCAGTAATTAGTACTAACCAGTTTAAGTAAATTTCCTGCATTTAACCATCGTATCCAACCAAAGGCAGTAGCTGGTAAAGTAAAAAGTAAACACCTTAATGCTGTTTAAGAGAACTTGTTGGTCCAGTCACACGAGCACTGGTTAAGTCACAAAGCATTTTCTTTTTATACTAAGCTATATATTAAGATTTTTATGTCAAGTCAGTTCTCTGTGACCACATACACACTTTATTAGTACACATGTTATTTACTATCCACAGTTTAGAATATATGTAGCTAGGATATACTGTTTCAAAGCTTGCACAAATGTTCATGGATGCAGTTTGGACTCCTGAGAACACAAATCTTACTATCATTCATTATCTTTACACTTACAATATAGAATGTTGGTGCTCAGGTTAGACATGGTACAGTTTGGATATAGCCGTGTGTGCTGTGCTTACTGACTGTTTTTCTTCTGTCCCTAGATACTAGGGCACAGGTGTTGGCTCAGCTGCTGTTGCAGTTTACTGAATTATCTGTTCCAGTAGGTCACATCAACTTAGCAGAGGGAGCCCACTCCTATGTGGCAACAGCTACGGCTGATGTCACTGACATCAGAATACGTCAGAGGGTGATCCAGAGTATTTCACTAAAAAATAAGAGCAGGGTTGAACCTATACCAGCTTAGACTGGATAAACGTAGGAATGCCTGAGGCAGGAGCTTAAAATAGTCATTCTTCTTTTATTTCCACAAGTTTTTAAGGTGACAGATTTTAAAACATTACTTAGTAAAAAGCTGTTATTAGATCCAGCTGTCTTAGCTAATTATAGACTGATTTCTAAGAGTAATTATCAAACAGTTAACTGATCATTTGCATAGCAGCGGTTTATTTGAACAGTTTCAGTCAGGATTTAGACTACATCGCAGTGCAGAAGGTGCGAACGTTACAAATAGTTTTCTTATAGTCTCTGGCTGTAGACTCATCACTGTTTGTCCTGTTAGACCTTAGTGCAGCTACTGTTGTCCACGGTATTTAACTACAGAGATTAGAATTACCATGCAGTGATTTGAATCACATGTCTGATAGATTCAAATTTGTTCATGTAAATGGAGAATCTTCCTCCCACACAAAATTTAGCTCTGAGTTCTGTGCTGGGACCAGTACTTTTCTTGGTCTTCACTTTATACATGCTTCCCTTAGGAAGTATTTTTAGAAGACATTTCATTGCTATGCAGATGACACACAGCTTTATCTGCCCACGAACCCAGATGAACACAGGTATATCTTTACGGGTTGATCTTTAAGACATAAAGGTTATTGCTCATGGTTCTAAAAAAGATCTTTATGTAAAATCTGAAATATCTAATAAATATGTCGTGTAACCCACTTTAAAATTAGGCATTAAGCTTTCCTTTTTGATAAAGGTTATAGTTAGGACTGGATCAGGTGACCATAAACCCTTCCTTAATTACACTGCAATAGGCCTAGGCTGCTCAGGAGCTTACCATGATGCACCAAGCATTTTCTTTACCCATCTCTTTCCACTCTCCGTTTACACACCGCTATTGTATTTAATCAGCAGTATTTATTAAAAGCTCTGTCTCCCATTGTCTTTTGTCCTGTCTCTCTCTCTGCTCTCTTCCCTTTCTCCTCAATCCCAACGATCATGGCACATGGCTGCCCCTCCTTAAGCATGGTTCTCCCAGAGGTTTGTTCCTGCAAAAAATGAGGTTTTCCCTCCCAGTGTCACAAAGTGCTTGTTCGTAGGGGGTTATCTGAATGTTGGAGTTTCTTTCTAAATTTGTAGGGTCTTTACCTTATAGTATAAAGCACCTTAAGCAAACTGCTGTGAATTGGTGTTATAGAAAAAAAGTGATTTGAGAATTGAACTGAATTATGTCAGTCTTTGGGACCACCATAAACATTTGCAGTCTGAATAAGAAAAAACAAACAAACATTTCTTGTTCTTTTTCTTTAAAATTAACTATTTTATTTATTTACATATATTTACACAAGTACATAATATCTTGATACAGCAGTGATGACGAAATAAAACAAGAAAATAAAAGAGAAGACACAAGACAACATCTCTCATCAGAAATTGACATCTACATATACAATAAACTGTATGGGTGACAAATTAAAGGTAACACAAATCATTCAAAGATGCTCACAACAACACCTCTTTGTAAAATTCTTCTCCATGATCACAAAAGCCACATGCCATTTCACCTCGCCCACAGCTTATATTATATAATAGTGCAATTGTTCTTGTAGTACTTGAATGAAAGCTACCTAAAAACTGCTAAATTATCTACGGCATGATTTTTTTTAACATTTTGAAACATAGGTCACAACAGTCCCCGTGTTTCTGCTTTGAACATCTGTCACCGTTCATGGATCAGAGCATGCCGTCGATTTCACCGATTGTGAAAATTAGGCCATCTGGCGGATGTCAACAACTGAAGCATCAAAACATTAATAACTCCTCAAATGGATCACACCGAGTCTCTCTGTTTGCTGTTTGTTTTATCAGAGGCGAAATGAAGGTTTGCTCCTGCAAACATGTGCTTCAAAAGACTAGGTAGTTATCTCGCCTGCAGGCATCTGCAGCAATAATTCCATTTGATCTGCCGTTCCTCTTTTGTGGAGTGGACATGAGAGACTGAAACAGGGATCATCTTTCCCGGGATGCAAAATCTATTGTTTACAATTTTATAGAACTGATTATGATTAAAAACCACAAACGTGACTACAGATGTATGCAGTTTTAATACAATTAAAGTTGCTATAATGCAAAGTAATTATGTTTTCACACATAATCCCTAATTAAAAAGGTTTACCCTTTGGAGTGGTGTACAGTAAGAAAAAAATAACCATAAGGCACTTGTATCTTTTAACTCAACACAATACTTACCACAACATGCAAAGAGTACAATTTTTAAAAGCATTTTTTCTTATCTTCCACTGAATAATTCAATGTAGTCTATCAGGGAGGACCACCATTTAGAAATACACACACATTAAGTTATTTTTAAAAAGTTTTTAGATGTATGCTGATTTTAAGAATTATCAAGGCCAGTTTAAAAGTTAAACAAATACTAAAATCACATTTTAATGTGACCTAACATCTTCTGCTGCAATATTTCAGCACTACTGTATTGCATGAATACTTAAATATTTAAAATATTTGTCAGTAAAGCTGAAAAACAGTCTTTGCTCTGTCCTCTAGTGAACCAGGAAAGACAAGTCCCAGCTACAAAGAGCAGCTAACACAGAGGTACACCAAGAAGGGTGGAATGCCCAGAAATATTTTGCATATTGTCTGCAAATGTGATTTAGTAAACAGGCTTGTAGATAATCTGACCAGCCAGCAGTCTGCGCCTGAGCTCCTTCCACAGCAGGCTCCTCTCTCTCTGGGATCTCTTCATGATCCCGCGGTTCTCTTGAGCACGGCGGGACAGGTAGGGGATTACTTCATTGACAGGGCCGTATGGAACGTATTTGTAGACTGGAAAACCTGCTTGGCCTGTTTTCAGATAAGAGAAGGAGATTCAGTGTTCACAGTCACCACCATGTGTGAATATGGTGTATAACAGCATGCAGTCGATACATTCTGCTTATAATACAAGAATACATTAAGTTAACAATCGCGAATGAAGTGAACAAACAGAGGGTACCAAGTTGTATTCACACATGCACTGAAGTCCTGAGCTTTCCAGACAACACCTGACAGAGGTGCATGTGGGAACACAAATGACTCGTGTAGTCAGACTGGACATTAAACGGTCTTTAAGTTCACAATCTACGTGATGTCCAACTGTGCCTGTTTCACAATAGTTGAAGTAAGAGTCCTGTGAAATCATGCAAGACCCCAGTTTAAACCAGAATATTTCAAGTTGTGAGCACACAGATGAGCCAAAGTCCTGTTGTGTGCTCGACTGTTCCGCTAACCAACGTAGGGGGAGGTATGGGGAGTGTTAATGTTCAGTGAAAAAAGGTGAAGTAACGAATGGTGCGGAAGAAACTATAAATCAAATTCCTAATAAATCACTTTTAAATTGCAATAAAACTAATAAATTGAGGTTCTGCAGACACTTGACCACTAACAATCATGGGACAATGTAGGATCAAGTGAATAAGGCCCTAGTCACACTGGCTTAGAGACCATCCCCCCGACTGATTGTGAGTGAAAGCTGGAGGCTGGAGGAAAATAAATGCTACAAGCCGAGCCACACAGGTCTAGAGTGCAGTCAGTGACATTCGTTATTTGCCTGAAAGTGAAGGACTTGTCTAAAAATACTGGCCAGCTGTTTTCCGAGCTGAACTGAAACCATCGTAAAGTAAAATAAAAGCTTTACCTTTTGAAAACTTTTACTTTGAAGGCGAACCTTTTACATTTTTGCTAGGCTTTTAACTACCACTCGGCTACTAGTTGGAGAGTTTTAGTAGACATAAATAAAAACCACAGGCAATCCAAGCAATTAGTGGAAGCTTTTTAGTGCAGCACCTTTTTTTTGCAACCAGTTTTACCCAGTGCATGAGCAACAAGCAGTTTAATTTGAGCCTGAGAGTGTTAAGTGACACCGAGGTCTGACTCCTCTTTTAGTGAGTTTCTCAGATATAGATATCTCCTTTGTATTGAGGGATTAATCATCTGCAAAATCAAACAAATGACTTAAACAGCAACAGTCTAAAAATATAAAGTTGAAGCAGCTGTTAAAGAACCTGGATGATAAATGTTATGTTGTGTTTGTACAATGATTAATATCATTCACAGGAATAAGAGTAGCATTAAACTTCTCCTCAGACTACTATGACAGGACAAGCGTGACATTTTCTAACACTAAGTGAAGGGCACTGGCAACACAAAGTGTTTGCTGTCAACATGACCTCAGACAAGGTCAGTGACTGCCTGGATATCGTAGCATTGACATCACTGGGAACAACACTTCAGTGGTACGTCTTTGACCACATGACCACACGCCTACATGACATGTGCCTCGGTGATTTCGCAGCATGCAGTTTACTTTAGTGCTGAGTGTAACATACCTAGTGGGAAGCTGATCTGGTCACACATCCCCAGCAGCTGTCCAAAGTAAACTTTATTCTCAGTGGGTGACAGGCCCATTTCATTCATCCTGGAAAAAAAAACAAAAAAAAAAACAGAGAAACACATTTTAAAGGACTGTTACATAATCAGATGTGGAACATACTATCCCACCACTCTCTGTTAACCCTACAGCTGCTTTGGAGGCTTTACAAGGAATATTTCACTTTGAGCAGTTATACAAGTATGAGTTCAGACTGTTAGGGTTAATCCTTCAGAAATGAAAGCTTTAGGGTATTTGTACATGCTCAAACTAAATCTGAGTTTTGTCTCTGCACATGTAAAGTGCTCAAGGACAAAACGTACTTATCGAGGGTGAACTTCACTGTGTCCTCATTGTGAGTTGCAACCATGACATTTGCTTTCCTGCTGTGTTCAATCTCCTCCAGCACATACTCCAAACACCTAAACAAACAGTGGAACAGATGGTTAGGATTTATGCAATTTCTAGCAGAATCACCAAGCGGCTTGATAAAAATTCAAGACTTACTTATGATACATCCTGTTAGTGGCCTCATAGTCTGGGTTTATTGGATCCTCATATCCAATTTCCTTCGCCCTGGCTCTCTCTTGGTACATGTAGGCTCCGCGAACAAGTTTGGCACCAAAGTACCAACCCTCCCGCCGAGACAGCTCAACATCCAAGGTCACGTTGTCGTAGGCTTCCTAAATGCCGTTAACAACACAAACTTAAAAGGGCATCCAAACCTAGCATAAAATAACCACAATTATGCTAATTGTAACATCGGTAGATGCAAAATTGCATGATTAATGTGCACAAAATATCTTTTGTTTTTTTAATATATATAAAAAGCCATATCATTTAAGGAAAAAATGTGGAGAGCTCTTAACTTGTAGTTATATCTTCCTCATCACTACAATCACAAGAAAAGTGTCATAATTATCAGATCCTGTTTGTTCTCTTTACACTGCACATAAAGTTTAGAGTTCAGATGAAGATTGTGGTGATCACTTTCAGCACTCTCTGTGGTCAGGTGCCACTATCTGTGTAGGTTCTCAGTCATCCAGGTCACGGTAGTGCAATAAGCTTGGAAAGAAAAGTATTTCTCAGACCTTGTTTCATGTGATGAGGCACATGATTAATAATCTTAAACGACAACCCACACTAGGGATTATACAACTGGCACTCTCCACCATTTGGTTTTAGGAATGAAGAAGCCGCTTGGATGAGAGATAAAACATTTTCATGAAGTACAAACATTTTTCTGGTGGTACCTCGGTCCAGGCTAAGGACTCAAGGAAATTATGTATTTCTGAGGTTGTGGAGCTGTTGAAGTTGTTCCCACTGGACTTAAGATCTGTAGACACTGCTTAAGACCCAGTTTACAGATTTTGATCTTGGATGCTGAGATATAAATACATTTCACCTCATTACTTATGGACAGATTATTGAGGGAGAAACTGGCAGTAGTATTGGCAGATTTGGGACTAATTTTTGTGTAATAAACAAACTGATGTGCCACAGTTTGGAAAGCACTCTGGCAAAGAAACTTCCTGTTTCTTATAAAACATTGCTTTAACTAATAAAGCATTGTTAAAGCATATTTAAAGAAATACTGCAAAATAAAAACACTATCGGTATACTCTGTGTGCTTCGATAGGTTAGTAAGTAGCAACAATCATCACGACACACACTAGTTTATCAGTCGAGTTCAGCTTCATTGAGAAAACTGCAGTTTCACCTTGAGGTAACACTGGTAGGTGTTGAAAATGACTGGCTTTTCTCTGTTGAATTTCCTCTGCATTTCCAGGGTCAGGCGACTGATAGCTGGTTGGAAGTACGTCTGCTCGGCATCCACCATTAGCCTCACCCCGTTCTCTACAGCATGCTGGAGTGCACAAAAACAATTAGAGAGTAAAATATGAAGCACCATATAAAACCGTGTCCTATCCCTATATTGTTGCCCACACTATTTGCAGGTACAGGTTGCTTAGTGTCCTCACCTTGGCCAGAATATCCACTCTCTGCAGCATTCTCTTCATCTGCCTCTCTTCTTCTTCGGTAAATATATTCAGCAAAGGCTCCAGATGGCCGGTCTATGCAACCAAAACAAAAAGATATTAATCGACTTTATGATTAATATAAAGCCGTAAATTTTATCTCCATGTGACTGGCAGGAAAGAGTTCAACATCGGTGCCAGAAACGTTTCCTATATTTGTCAGCTGCCCTCAATTATACTGGCTACATGGCCAATGCGAAATGAGCACTTCCCAAAACAAGTCCCAAAACATGCTATTCTAATGCATTAAAATGTTTTTGCTTGTGGTGGGAAGGCATAATGTTCCCCCAGGTTGGCAATTTAACTTGTTGCCACAAAGCAATAAAGACTTTATGACAAGGTGAGAAACACAGCTGTTGCTGTTGTTGGCACTTCATTTTTCTAGTTTTATTCCTCATTTTAAATCGTTTATTACACCATAAATTTAATAACATAGCTATAGATAAATCCTAAATTAGAAAAGCCATGTACAAGAAGCATTTTATCTACTTTAAAAGTTCATAATAATTAACAGAAAAAGGTAGTCATCTTTTTCATTGGCCTTTAAAAGCCTCCAAAGTTTGGATTTGTTGGCTTTATAAGCTTCTAAAATGTGGAAGGTAATGCTGTGACACAGTGAAAATGGAGAGATAAGACAACAAGTGACCAAAGGAGGCCACAACTGAGAAGAAATAACAAGATTAATAGCAGAACAAGTACAAAAAAGGGAGAGACATTTGATTGTCGAACACAGTTGTATTTCTGTTATCAACAGTAGACATAAAATAGCATAGATTACCTTTACTAAGTTCATATTATCTTAACTGTAACTAACTTGATGCTCTCCTAAAATCCCACCGCAGATTCTTTGCAGTTGGCCTGAATTAAACAGCCGATTCTCTTTTTAGTAAGGCCAGTAAAGGTTTTGAACAAAAGGTAGTAGGGAAGGCATTAAGGCAAAGGGTGTTTTATGTTTGCGTTCAGTCAAGCATGATAATTTTTTCCACTTCAGTGGAAATGGCTGAACAAACATGGAGTGCCTGGTAACAGCTTATCTGTGTATTGCACAGGGAATAAGAAACAGCGTAGAGATGAAGCAATACCTGTGATCATTCAAACCAAACAGCTGAAATCCAGTCGTTTTTTCTCCCACCTCCAAACCACTAAAACGTCATGTGATGATGACTCACCTGAAGGTTTGGCACCATAAGCAGATTTGAAATCTTTGTTGTGTCGTTTATTAAACTGTTCCAGTCCAACAGATCAATTGTTCTAGAAGTAAGACATGAGAATATAAAGCCAAAAGAGAAAAAGCTGAATAAAGGTAAAACTAGAAATAACTTGGATGAAGAATTAGTAAGGTGCAGTTAAAGGAGATTAATTGTAAACAAATGAGTGACTGTCCTACCCAGACAGGCCCAGCTTCTCTCCAGTAAACCAATTCTCTATGTCATCTTTGGCTCCAACACCCAGCTCAGTCAAACTTTCCTACAATGAGAGTACACCTCAGTTCATTATTGAGAACCATAAAGGTTGGAACACCTTAAAAATAACTAAAAAAAAAAATGACATGAAGACATCATTTGAGCATAAACTTGCATATCACCTTGAGCTGCTCCAGCTCCAGTTTCTGTTCTAAAACCGTCATTTGAGATTTTCCCTGTTGCGCCGACAGGAAGTTAAAAAACCGTCTCCATTTAACCAGGACTTCGGAAAACTGGAGCTGTTTGAACAGAGGGCAACATATTAATTATCAAGTAACAGCAGTAGTTTTATCCGAGGGTTTGTAATGGGGTTAACTGACCACAAGAGTAGTTTGTTTACAGACAAAAATCAAACAGTTTAACTATCTTTTAATCTTTGACACTGAGATGTAAAAACTACTTTTTTTACTGATCAAAACTTTGAAGTGATCAAGTAAAAAGAAAACGATTTCCTCCTGTAGTCAGACTAGTTCTTCTGCTACATTTCTTTGCTAAATTAAGGTCATTTAAGACTTAAGTCTAAACCCTGCGACACTACGTTTCAGTTAACAATGAATGAATGAAAAACGTTAACCTTACAAGGAACTGTGGACGACCCAGTGCAGTCATTTTGATAGCAGAAAATCCATCATTAGAAGCTCCACCTGAGAGGAAACAACAAACCTCATGTCACTTTTTTTTTATTAGATTTTTTTCTTTAAATAAATAATCTACTTCGTTAAATTACTTTTTAAGTATTTATGTTTTACACTATTAAAATGAACCCAAACTGTGCTTGACCAGCAGTTGTACTACTTACCAGAAGCTTTAATGCAGTTTATGAATGTCTCCATTTGCATATCACATTTGGCCTCATCTGCATAGAAGTAAGTTCGTGCACTGATAACTCCCCCGCGCCTGTCTCCAAACTGACGATGGGCCTTGTACTTCTTCTCACGATGATCCGCACCTGAAGTGAGACGCAACTTTAGTGGCTTGTTGCATGAAAAAAAACCCTCAAGTTCACCAAGATTTTGATATCCCGACGATTAATAATCAATTCACATACAAAGGAGATTTAGAGCCTAAACAACACATCATTACTATGCAACTATAATGGTCTATCAAAGGTATCCAGTGCATATTTTGTCCTATATGTGCAAATAAGAACAAGATTTTTGAGGGAATTTAGGATTGTTGTTATTATTATATAGCTCATGTGTGGAGCACATGTAGCAGTGGAGCATCACAGATATAGAGAATGCAGTGCAGAGAAAAGTGGTGTCTTCTTGATAACTTGCTAAAAAATTTGTGAAATAGATTCTGAAAACCTGGCTGACCAATAACCAATAACCATTTCCCTTGCTCATAATGCCTGTATGTACCCAAGCTCTTCCTTAACAGGTGGCCCAATCTGAACGAAAGTTTGCATGAACATCGTCACACATGCAACAATTAATAACAACTATATGTATTTTAAAAAATGCCTTAATAAAATGATAAATTTGTTCAAGTTACCAATAAATATTTAATTAGGAATTTGAACTACTCATAGGGCTAGACAATGTAATTCTAACACACACACATACTTACATATAAAAATAATATTGACCAGAAGATTAGAAATTAGAAATCATGATTTCTTTACTCTTGCATCAGTGACTGCCCCCAAAGAAGTCAGCTTTATTCGGGACCTAGATAGCATGCAAGATACCTCTTGCATAAAATCCTGGAGGTGCATGTGTTTTATTTTTAAGCTTTGCAGATGATGTAACTGTAATAGAGACAAATGTGTTTGTGAAAACCGAGGGAGGAAAAGGAGGCAGTGGAAAATCCGGGATGGTCATTGGAGAGCTCCGACGAATCCGAGAGCCCTGAAGTAACACGATGGCTATAATGCTGCCTTAACTGATTGCATTTGATTTAAGAGGAGCAGTTTTACTGCTATCATTTATCCTACAACGTGAATGGATTTTCATCAGAAGGAATTCCATCCTAAAGGGGGGCATTTTTTTTAGTTTGTTACAATTACTGAGAGCACAATAGATATCAAAAACAAGCTTTACTTTATTCATTTAAAACTAGCCACTCTGGTTGCAAATCAATGTGCATGTAACACATTAGCACTTTTAATTCAGCTCCCACAAAGACTGATTTGAAGTAAGTATAAAATAAGTTTGTCTCAGAGTGATTGCCAACAGGTAAATGATACACAAACACATTAAATATCAACCCCTTAAACACTACCCAGCTTCACCCCGCAGTGTCTGTTGAACTTGACATTTCAGCCCCCACAAGATCCAGTTATAACCAGTAACATCCTGACTAGACTACGTGGATGCATAACTATGCATACTAAACCACCGAACAGCTGAAGCAGCTGACTAGTCAGCAGCTCAGCCTTGTCAGCTTACTCCACGGCAGTTCTTTAGTCAGAGACGTATGCAAAATAAAATAAAAAATAAAATAAAGTTTGTTAGTTTTGTTTTTTACTGACACACATACCTGGACTTTCTTTCTCTGCCTCAGAAACACATGAACTGTAAAAATAAAAAATTGTCATTAGAACAGTAAAAAAAAAATAAGGCAACAGAAAATTTGTCTCATCTTTGTTTCTTTCAGTCAGATCAATAGCAACTTTTATAACACAGCATACTAACAGTAATAAGACAATGAATAGCGGAAAGTCTGAAAAGTTTCAAAAAGACAGATGACATGATGATAAAAAGCACTGTTTCGTTCTTTTAACAGTCACAATGAAATCTTATGCAACCGTGACAATGACCTGCTTTTCAAGTTATGTTGCGACGTGAGAGACGCATTGGGGAACAAAGGCAAATAGCCAAGGTGAACTAAAACTAAACTAAAAACTAAAACTTGATTTGAAAGAACATTTTAGTTAACCAAAATAAAAATCAAAACTAGATTTTTGATTGATTTTTTAAATTAACTAACAGATTTTTTTTTAGAACTTGTAAAAAAAAAAAAAGTACAGAGGAAATATCCTTAGTGTTAGCATCTGTTAGTTAGCATGATGAGGCATCATTGGTCTTTATCAGAAAAAGCAGTTTAGTTCCTCCTGTGTCTGTTTGTGTGTGTTGGGATAGTCCTAAGTAGAGCACTGTGGGTATTTTAAATCACAGAATATTGTGTAACACTTGCTAGTGTGCCTCAATGTGCCTCCTGAAAGCAACTCTCATGGCAACCAATGAGGCCTTTCAATGATGCCCATCCCATCTCTGAAAAACTGGCTCAACCAATCAGAGCAGGGAGGCCTGTCTTAGCGAGCCAATAGAGGACAAGCACTGTTGAACTGCCTGAGAATAACACAAACAAATTAGGTTTTGATTATAAAGCATTACATGTTATGACTGGCACTGCTTTGATAAAAAGCCTAACAGAAGCCGTCTGTGAGGTGATAAGATAAGAGGACACTGATATCAAAGTGCAGCCCAGAGGAATAGTTTTGACACTCAAGTAGGACACATAACTTGAACTTAAGTGATAATTTCCAGAGGGACAACTTAGTACAGAGACACAGGCAATGGTTAACCAAGAGCATTTCAAATATCACAACTACATTTTTTCATATGTGCATATGGTTAGTTAATGTGCCGAAGAGAAGAGGCAAAATGAGAGGAGAGGCTCTAAAACATGAGCTATATGCATGGAGACATAGACCTAAATACTTCTGTGGAAACTAACAGTCAAATTACTCATTTAATTCACTATTAAAGATATCAATACAAATCAGGTAATACACGTACTACAGTTTCTCAGTCTTTTAATGAACTTGTTGTACTAACACTGCTAAAATATCCATTACTGTGATTTTTTTTCAGTCCTGGAGCTGCTCTTCTAGTGTGCGGCTCCTATTACAGCCACACATGGAGACAAGTAATGGAGAGGACCTCTCTTCCACAGTTTTCTGATTTCTCTGGGTTTTTATGATGTGGTGCAGTTACACACTTGTGATGACACCATGTGATGTTGTGCCATACAAAATAAACTTGACTCAGCTGGCTTTTATGGATTTAGTGAGCTGAACAATCCTGGGTATGCAGCTCACTAAATCTCATCTGACACACACATATATCAAGGTTTATCTTATCTCTTATCTTATGGCATTTGCAAAGTTGTGCGCACCACAGTCCTTAAGGAGAAATCAGCCTACGTGTGTATTTGCTACTCACTCCATCTCCTTCTTCTCCGCTTCCTCTTGTGTCAGGTCTTCTTCCACGCTGTAGTCCAAAACTGCCCCCACACCAAAGGCCTCATTTTTCCGAATTAACGGTTTGATGGAGTTGTGGTCTTCCCCTGCCACAAACTGCCCATAGAAGGTCATCTTCATCAGCTTCTCAAACATCCACTGTCCAAACAGCTTCCTGCTCAGATCCATCAGCTGAAAACATGACAGGGACAAGAAAAACAACAGGTTACTCTGCCTGAGTGGTTTACAGCCCCTTTTTCATTTTCACCTCGGCGAGTCAAAAGCGGAAACACATTCATAGCGCGCCAACGCGGAGAGTTCATTGAGCTTTGGTAAAGCGGTGCACCGGTTTGGTGCTGATCTGAACGCACGTGTGTGTAGGGTTAACAGAGGATGCGTTATCGGGCCGATCAGTCCCGTCAACTCACCTCTTTGTTCTTGTCAACCAGGATGTCAAACGTACACAGCTTGAAGACCAACAGACTCCGGAGCAGCTCAATATTACCTTTGCTCTTATAGGCTTCCTGTGTGTTTTCGAAGTCGATGTGGGTTTTACTCAGCGGAGCTTTGGTAGCTTTTCTAGACTGGCTGATGAGTTCAACCGGCGCAGCCTCTACCACGGTGCAGCCATTCGTCTTCTGCTGCTGCTGCTGCTCCTTCTCTTCTCGAGTTTTGGTGGATGCGACTGTTGAGCGGCATCTCGCAGGCGAAATCCGCAGTTTTCGGATGCTGCCGGAGTTTGCCCTGACCAAGGGTGCTACAAACTTAGTGTACGACATGCCTTCTTCGCCTTTCTGAGCGGCAGCTGCACGCAGACTGAGACCGGCAGACTTCTTTGCCGATTGGATATTTGGAGTGTTGCGTAATGAGCGCGCTCTGGTATGTCAGAATCGGGAGGTGGCGCCCTGCCTCACTTGTTACATCACGTCCCCGATAGGCATCACGCAAGAACCACGGGCCTCATTCCAGTGAAAAACCTGAAAAACTCCCCCGTCGTGTAGTAGGAGAAGCAGATGGTTTAAGAGAAGCAGGAGGCCTTATACTGAGGGTAATAGTTATTTGATCCAGTTTGTGAACAGTCCCTCATTATTTGGCCATTTGATTTTAATGCAGAGAGACAGAATATAAAGCAAAAATCCAGAAAAAAAAGACATTACATAAAAGTTGATTTGCATGTCATTCAGCGAAGAAGTATTTGATCGCCTACAACCCAGTCAGGATTTTGGTTCCCACAGATTGTTTGTGTGTCCAATGGGGCCGAGATTACAGTCAGTCAATCAATTGTAGCTACTCAATTCAATTTATTTTATTCATTTATTGGTGGTGGTCAGAGGGCCCGGTGGCGCCAGTGTCCGGCCTCTGTCAGTGCGCCCCAGGGCAGCTGTGTGACTACAATGTAGCTTGCCATTGCCTGTGTGTGAATGGGTGGATGACTGAATGTAGTGTAAAGCGCTATACAAATGCAGGCCATTTACATGGGAGGAGCTTGTTAATCATCTGAAGGCAGTTGTGACCATGGTAATACTGATAACACTCTACGCTGTATGGTACCAGCAAGGTCCCCCTGCAGAACAAGGCACATGTGCAGGCTAGTGAACATCTTAAGGAGTCAGAGAAGGCTTGGGAGAAAGTGCTGCGGTCAGATGAAACCGAACTTAACTCAGCCCACTGTGTGTGGAGGAAGAGAAAGTATGACCCACAATCAAGGATCGAGGTGGAAACATACTGTTTTTCTGCTAAGGATTACAGGATGACTTTGCTGCATGGAGGGGGCCACTGGAGGGGCGGGCATGTACCATAAAATCTTACATGAAAAGAAAGGGGGGGGGGGGTAGCCAGCCTAAATCCTGTAGAAAATCTTTGACGCTGAAGCTTCAAGTTGCAAACACCTGCCAAGAAACCTAAATGTTTCTGTAAAGAGAAGTCAACCAAAATCCCTCCTGAGATGTGTGCAGATGTGGTGACCAGCTATAAGAAACGCTTTATCTCCTTGCTTAGCAACACCACCAGGTACTTGTGTTTTCTTGAAGATCAAATACTTATTTCACTCTATGATGTGCAAATCAGTTTATAGCTTTTATGTAATGTGAAAATTTTTCTAGATTTTAAGTTGATATTCTCGCTCTCTCTATTAAAATTAAATTAATAATGAACTTTTAATTCAGAGGATAGAAATGAGAACTGGTTTGTGTTACAAAATAAAGCAGTCAGTGTTCTCAATTTTAGTCCCTCTCAGTTTCGTATAAAAGCTTATTTGTTTTTTGTTTTTTTTGGTCATCTCAAAACTTGTCTTTATAACTCAAAATTAAGGTTAGGGGAAAAACTGATTATTTTATTTTCCTTTTCTTGTTTGTTTGTTTGTTTGTTTTAGTAAGTCTCAGACCAACTATAAAGTCAAGTGCATATTCACATATATATATTTTTTCTGCCACTCTTGACTTCCTGTGTACTACCACAACTCCTGTCTTGGCACTCTATCATATATTTCCTCTAGGTCCACAAAGACACCGCGCACGTGTTCTTCTAATCTTCTCTCTACTGCTCCAACAACCCTCTCAAAGCAAACATTATTGTAACGCTCGGCTGCTGCTCACTGATCGTCACCACAACTTCTCCCCGCAGCAGGGGGCAGCAATGATGTAACAGTGGCTACTGTCTGCCGGAAATGAAAAGCTGTAGAAGAAGAACGCAGCCATCTCCCGTAAATGTGCTAACTTACGCGGAAGCAGCAGAGTGTGCTAACTGGTTGCATTAATTCTACAAACAGGCACATTTACCTGCTCTAAAAGGTAATCAGAGACATTTATTAATTTAAGTTTTTTTTTTTACCATATGCATTTATTATGCGCTCTCTGAAAGCGATAAATATTAGCAAATTGTAGCCGACCCAGAGTCTTTTTAGCCTGACTCGCTGATCGACCTTACGTTACCAACAAAGGGACTGCGCTGGTTTCGCAATTGCTGGTGTGCAAATTATAAGCTAGGGGTTAGTTTCTAGATATAAAGGTCAAGTTGAATGGGTCGACTCCAGAGGCCGTGTTACAAGACTTAAAAAAAACAAAACAAAAGAAAGAAAGGAAAATACCTGAACTGCTTTTAATGTAAGCAACCCCTCGTTTACAGCCGCCTGTTGCTAACAATAGCTATGACTACTTTAGCAGTAGCCACTGTGATATTTTAGGGCAAAGCCAAATTTGAATGGCTGGAACGAATCTGGACTGTAGTGTCTAAGCGGTAATGCTAACCAGGAGCTCTCGAATTTTAGATTAAATTGAGGTCAGATCGCAGTTGTTCAGCTATGGGACGTTAAACAGGTTTGGTAGGTTCAGCAACTGCTCGATTAAACGGGGTTTTCAAGGCCCCGGAAACGCCTTCAAGTCCAGGTAAACGTATAGGGTACGGAAAACACCTGTTAGCAGCTGTATGACAGCCACCAAAACACCGTTTTTATGAATATTACATTTTGTTTCAATATGCTGGGTTTGTATATAAATTTTATGCGGCAGCTTTTAAAATCACCAGCCTGAGTTTACAGAAAAATGTAATAGTAGTGTCAGTCTGGAATAATGCACATTGGACGGCGACAGTCTCATGATAATATTGCGATTTTTCAAAGTAATTTTGTAATAATTATGTTTGTGATAGTATGGGCAAAAATACAGCACTTATTGGTGTAAAAGCAACAATCTGAATTTTTAGCCTTTTTCCAGTGAGCTGCCGTCATAGATCGCGGACTACATGATTCAAACTGTGTGTCTATTGCCACAAGGTGCCAGCAGCAGCACTGCAATAGACTAGTTGTTACACAGTATATGTCAAATGTAAGACCAACAGCCGGTGGCGTGGTGCTTTCCTGAGAAAGTTGAAGTGAAAAGATAGCATAACTGCTCATCAGGACCCTTTGGAGTGTTGTAACCTAATAAAATAGAAATGGAGCTTTTTAACTAGTTTCATCCACCATTTATTTTGCATGTCATATGGAGTGCAACTAGTGAGTGCTCTATATGTGTCTTTATCACCTACCTTCATAGCATGGTTGTAGTCGCTGAGCTGCATTAAGCTGGAACAGTTTTCTTATGCGTTTTCCATATTGTTGTGCTGCTTTGGAGGTCTGCCCTCCCAACTAAGCGTCAAACAATTTTCATATTATTGGCTCCCTTTTTTTACAAGTAGAAATATAAGAAAGTGTTGCGCTGCCCATCATTTCTTTATATTTTGCTTTGAGCTAGACTTCCTTGTAATTTTTAAAGTGGTCTTGAGAAATAGTCCTCCAGGTTTTCTGAAAGTCAGTGTTTTTCTTTGAATAGTGTTATGTCTATGGATAACATTACACTTAACAAAGAAGCAGTTTAAAATTGTATTTTTGACACTGTATTATATCAGCATGTCATTAAAACACAGGTGTTCCTATTTCTTTTGTTGAATTCATGAAAAACACCAACAATAACACAGTTTGACAGACATGAAATAGTATCTAGGCACCAACAAAGTGATTACCAAAGAGCTCTTAGTTGAAATTTGTGCATGGTGTTCAGTGTGTCCATTTAAAAAAGAGAGGAAACTGGAGGGCCAAAGAAGTGGCAAATCTTACCCCCACCAAATATGTATATATATATCTACAGGATCTGAAGGTCATGTCTTGAAGAAATCCATCCACCAAAGAACTGTGTCAGACCTGAAAGATACATCTGGACCTTCAGGTGATCTATGTACTGTTCACTGAAGGTTCAACAGAAATGGTCTCAGTGGAAGGATGGCTGTAAGAAGCCATTCTTATACAGGGGGAAAGAGAAAGGGGAGAAAGAGTTTGAGGTATGTCAAATTACACAAGGACTGGATTAAAAATCAGTAGCAACAGGTCTTCTGGAGCGAGGAATCCAAATTTGAAGTTTTTGGTTGAAAGGAGGATGTCACAGTACATCAACAGTAAGTGTCTGTAGCCATCTGTAAAACATAGTGGAGGCTCTGTCATGGTTTGCAGCTGTATTTCAGCCAGTGGTGTTGGCTGGAGTTCTTTGAAAAATTTGTGAAATGATAAACACAGAAAATAACGTAAAATCAGAAAACAGCTGATTGTTAGCGGCTTCATTTTTGAGCATGACACTGATAACAAACACACTGCCAATGCAGTAAAAACATACCTGGACAGAAAAACACAGTGGCCTCTCCAGAGCCTGGACTTCAACATTATTGAAGAAGTATGGGATCATCTTCACAGAGAATGGAATAAATAGCAGCCAACATCCAAAGAAGAGCTTTGAATGTCCTTCAAGAAGCCTAGAGAACTATTCCTGAAGACTACTTTAAGAAAACATCCCTCAGAGAGTTCAGGCTGTGTTCAAGGATCAAGTTGGTCATAACAAATATTGACTTTCAAGGTCATTAGAATTCTACAGACATTTTTGCCTTGTATACGGTTTTTAAATTTCCATTTAGGTTGGCACATATTTCCTATTTTCCAAGGAAAAATATAAAGACATTTTTTAAAAGGTTTTGCAAAATACATTTTTTAGTACACACAGAATTGCATGCTAGCTTAATCCACATAAAACAAAACAAAAAGGTTAAAGGCATAGAAAATATTGTTTTTGCAGTAAAAAGCAGAGTAGAAAAACACGTAAGCATCAGTTCATTTACCGTTTACACACAGGTAATTGTTAGTACCTTTTTACATTTTTTCCCACAGTATGCTTATAATCTCACTTTAAAGAGAACAGATCTGTAATCACTGAAATGGTTGGACATTCATTACACTGTGTTTTTAAAGTTTTCAGGCTTGGATCCGAAGTCCTGTGCCATTTTTTTTTTTCCTTGAGCCCATCATTTACTTCTATCACGGCTTCATCCCTTCTTTA